TTGATATATAATTTACCTTTGAAGAGTTTCGAGAGTTAATCTGCTCTCTGAGCCCGGCCATGGGTCAAGCTCGTCTGGTCAACCAGGCTGTTGCTGCTCGATGACGACACTGTTTTTGGCGGATTCTGAAGAGAAGCCGCAGAAGTTGGTGGATGAGTTTGGGATGTTATGTAAAAGAAAGAAATTGAAAGTGAACATAGGAAAGAGCACAGTGATGAAGATAAATTTAGGTAAGGAAAGATTGTATGTCAGAGTGGAGGGAGGGAGTATGGAGGAAGTGAATGTATTCAGACATTTGGGAGTGGACTTGTCAGCAGATGGGCTATGAAAGACAAAGTGAACCACAAAACTGATGAGGGGGAAACTGCAAATAGTGCACTGAGGAGTCTGGAGACAGTTATGTATGGAAACAAAGAGGGGAAAGTTTGAGAGTATAGTGAGAAACCATAGCTTGGAGAATAGGAGGTTCAGGGTTTCTAAAAGTATTATCCAGAGGGCTTAGGAAGGGGTTGTTGAGGTGGTTCAGATATTTGGAGAGGATGAAATGAAATAGAATAACTTGGAGGACATATAAATCTGTAGTGGAAAGATGGGGTAGGGGGTCATTCTAGGAAAATTTAAGTAAAAGGACACAAACGCATCTAATGTGACGTTTTATTGTGGCAATGTTTCACTCTCCAGGAGCTTTATCAAGCTTGATAAAGCTCCTGGAGAGCAAAACGTTGCCACAATAAAATGTCATATTAGTTGTATTTGTGTCCTTTTACTTAATGTATTGTTGGTAATTCTACCAATATTAATCTAGGAAAGGAAGCTTTGTATATGAGAGGTTTAGACTTCCAGCAAGTGCGAGTGAGTGTGTTGGATAGGAGCAATTGGAGGCAAATAGTTTTTATGATTGACATGGTGTTGGAGTACGAACAAAGTACAGTGGAACCCTGAATATCAGCCATAATCCTTTCCAGAAGGTCAGCCTAAATTCGAAGCATTATTTCTCGTAAGAATTAATGTAAATACAATTAATCCGTTCCAGACACCCAAAAATATTAACAAAAATGCATTTTTTAAAGATTAATTATAGTTTTACATCTACAAAACAATGAGAACTAAGTAAATAAATGAACATTTAAATCACTATTACATACCTTTATTGAAGAGAATTGTTGACTTAAGGAAAACAGGGAGGAGGAGAGAGGGAGGACTGATTATTGTTTGGAAGGAGAATCCCCCTCCATAAAGACTTCAGGTATCAAAGCCCTCTCTGGGGGTTACTTCCCTGCATGCCTGCTACACTCTCTGCCTCCCCTTCACACTCCCAGTTTTCCTACTACACTCCCTGCCTCTCTGCTACACTCCATTTCCCTGCCTCTCTGCTAAACTCCCTTTTGCAACATAAGCTTCCTTGATTTCTTCTTTCTTTGCCAGGATGGAAGTGATTGTTGATTTGGATTTCCCATACATCCTGGCAAGTTCTAGCACTCAAACACCACTCGTATTTTTCAATAACTTCTTTTATAAATTCCATCATGTTTCTCACTTTCTTTACCAGAGGAACTTTACTAGGAACTTTCTTTGGACCCATGGCGGCTTATTTCACAGTCGCACTTAATAAACAAGCACAAAAAACAATGGATTTTAAGGAAATGTTTGAATGCGCAGAGTACTTGTTCATTCACTGAAAGACACAGGGAGACTGACTCACCTACGCAGCGGCGTCCTGGCGGGAGGTGGGGTGACGCGTATAATACGGCTGATTTGTGAGGCACTGGCCGAAATACGGAGCAAAATTTCGGCCCAAAAACTGGCTTAAATATGATTTGGCCGATAAACGCAGCAGTCAGTATTCGGGGTTCCACTGTAACATTTATGAAGGGATTCAGGAAGTCAATTAACTGAACTTAAGTCTTGGATGTGGGAAGTACAGTGCCTGCACTCTGAAGGGTAGGTGAAGATATATTGTAGTTTTTGAACTACATATAGTGTAGGCATGCCTCTGGCAGGAAAGTGATGGAGTGAGTGATGAAAGCATTTTTTCTTTTTTGGGTCACCCTGCCTCGGTGGGAAATGGCCGATGTGTTAATAACACACATTTTTATAAATTTCTAAGATTTAAGGAAAGTTGAGATAATATAGTTTGTATTTCATGAAATGACTGAACCCATGTGGATCATTCAGTGCAAGTAGTAATAATGGAAGCTCTATCCTTCATCCACTGATTACAGCCTAGTCTGTTTGGTCATGCTCTGAGAATCCCTCAAATTATAAATACAGGTGACAGAAGTCACCACATATGGGGTTATTTTTTCCCCAACTGTGCACCTCTCGTCTTTCATCAGAATTATATTCCATTTTCTTTCAAGATTGTGGCATGCAACCAGCTTACCTACATTTAGTATACATTTGATGCATCTTTAATGACTTGTACTATTTGTATAGCTATGCAGTAATATCTACAAATTCACAAACTGGTTATTTAATGCCTCTATTGGAAGGCCTCCTGTTAGTAGCACTAATTATTCCCTATTTTTATTCTAAGAATTTTGTTTTGGTTTGGTGCATGATCTCAAAATTGAAAATAAACCATAGAATTTCATTCAAAAATGTTCGCTGGATTTTTCTGTGCCCCGATCTCTTCATGGATGCATGCACACAGTTATGAATATCGGTATTTTTGAGGTTAGAAATATTTAGAAAAATAACTCCTGAAATATTAAATGAGTCTAAATCTGAAACAGAATTAATTAAATAACATGACCTGTTAACTTTTTAATTGTGTCCGTTACTAGTACATAACTGACGATTGTGTCCGAAATGTTAGTATGCCCAATTTTTTGTGCCTTCAAATGCGTCACGTGCTCATATTTTTGACTAACACAAATGTTGGTCTTGTACAACTTCTTTGTGTCTTTGAAAAAATTCTAAGACCATATGGATTCAAACTGTGTATCATGACCAACACTGCCTAACTTGCATTTAGTACACAATGAAACCAGGACCTGTTCTTCCACCACCAGCATCCAGATTTATTACAATTACGTGATATTGTGGAATTAAGCAGAAAAGTTTACTGTGTAGATTAACTCTCTCACTTTCCAGATTCTTGAAATTAATATTACTCTCTGTCCACATTTAAAAAAAAAAAAAAAAATCTGAAATGGAAGAGAATGTTTTTCTGGATGTAATGATACCTAAAGTACAAAAATTTGATGGAAAGCTTATGAAATTATGCATGCACAAAGTTAGTGGTCTGGATTCAATTTATGCATGTGATTTTATCCGCTTTGAGTCCTACTTTAAGCCATTTCTAGTGCTGCATACCTGGAGAGGGTTTTGGGAGTCAGTGCCCCTGTGGTCTGGTCCCTGACCAAGCCTCTCAATTTGATCAGATTTTTAACTTTCGCTAGTGTGCCTTCTGTTCTATTGATTGATCACTTAAAGAAACTGCCCATTCAGTTATCAGAATTACCCTATATTTTTGATGTCATTACTTTCAGAAAAAGATTCTCTTCCATTTCAGAAGAAGAAATAATTAAAAAAAAGTGGACACTGAGAGCAGTATTAATTTTGGGTGTCTGGACCGTACAAGAGTTAAAATTAAAATGCTTTGCATAATGTATAAAAAATTTGTAATCCCAGAGCTAAATAAACACTTGTAATTCTTATAAACAAACTTTGACATGACATCTCTACTGCCTCCAGCCACTTGCATATGACAGTTGAAATAATCCGTGTATATTTGATGTCCTGAAAGTTTAGGTATGGATACCTGATTATTCATGAAGATCAAAATACCATGTGCATTATTTGCATCGTCTTGCTGTATATATTAAAAGCCCGTGTCTTTTTACTTAGGTACATTCCTCTTTTGCTTCCATAGATAAATTTCTTTGCATAGATGCCTCAACACTCCATTTATATTTTTTGTTTTGTATGTTCTGTGGTTCATCTCGTCTTTCATAGACCCAGATACTGCACAAATACATCTGCTCCCAAATATCTTTGATACATTCACTTCTCTACTTTTAAATTACAATCTTGTATCCAATTTTTCATTGTGTGAGCTTATTTTTGTTACTTGTTACCTTACTGTTTTCTATGTCCCTCCACCCCTTTTTTTCCTTTTTACCCTCCCAAAATCTTACAAATTTTCTTTATCTCGCATCTCTACCACTCATTCACTTCTACACCCCCCATCTATAAATACATCCATAGGGGCATTGGGCATCCCTCTTGATAGCCTTACTATATTATATCTTAAGTACAGTATGTAGAAAATAGTTTACTTGCACAGGGGAATTTTTCTAACTTTGTGAGATTAGTTACATAATTTGCTTTGTCAAGGGAAAAAATTAGCATTTCTTTTATGGCATTATCTTTTGTCCTCCAAGTTAGCATTTTTTAACTTTGAGAACAAAAGATACATATACAGTTTGCAGAGAGAAGCATTAATGAAGACAACCAGAAAAGAGTCACAGTTTGCTGAGAGAAATTTTGGGAGGTTTTTCCTGTGAAACAGGTGAAGCCTTTTCCAAAGGGGAGATGCCTCAAAAATTCTTCCCAGTGATTGTCTATTTCTGCCTATCAACTTCGTGCCACTTGTCTTCATTATCATCACTGTTATGACTCGCAAAATCATAATTATGTGATCGCAAACAAATCATAAAATGGGTGGAGTTGGAACTCATGGCAATTGAGTCCTAACACTTGAAGGCCAGTGTGTTAACCAGCTCAGTGCACTTGCCTGTGAGTTTGAGTTTGCTTGCCATGGGTTCAAACCCCACCCGTTCCATGGTATATTATTGCTACTGTAATAGGAATCTATTTCAGATTCTTTAGGTAGACTATGGTTGAAGTAAGGAAGTAAGTTTCTAATACTACTTGTACTATAATACTGTTCTTGATGTGGAAAATAGTGGCAGGCTTTCTTATAGTAAGTATACTGAATAGTTAATACAGTACTGTATAATGAAAGTTCAATTTTTTTTCTTTTTCCTTGCAAGGCATCATACACCAGGCAGGAGCACTGTAATCAGTGGTGTAAGTTTTTTGCGATATATCACCTGAATGTTTTGGATATTATAATTTTGTGTGGTACTCGGTGTTTGAATGTCTGTCTCGGGTGTCTTAAGTTGTTAAAATAGTTATAATTGCTTCAATACAGTTTGTAGCCTATTTTTGGCATGCTTGTTACTGTAAAAAATGCTTAGTTGTGATGAATTTTAGGAGGCATCATTTATCTTGTGCATTCAGTTTTGATTTTGGTAATGGATATATGTATGCTGTAGTAGTTACTGTACAGCTGGCACTGAATGTTGGTGTTTGATGGAGACTGTGTTTCAAGCACTTGACCTTATTCCCTCTCCTTTTACCAACAGTGATTGTTTTATAACTATACTGTACTATAATTACTGTACATATATACAACTAGTTTAATTCTAGCAAGTACTGTAGTACATGGTAAATGTTACAAAGTAAATGCTGTACATAAATGAATAACACCTTTTGTGAAATTGTTGCTTTTGTTTATTATTATTATTATTGTTGTTGTTATTGTTGTACGTATTTTAATTTTACTAGGTTTGTCATTACTTTTTTTTCTTTTGTGTGTAAGTGTAAATATTAGCTTCCATCTTTATAATCAGATCAGAGATGCATATATGCATATGTAATCCGTAATATTCCATATTTAATTTTATTTACACGTTTAACCAAGGATATTTACCCAGTATTTTTCATTCAGTACAGCTCTGTTGCTTTCCAGTTACACATGTTAAATGGTATTAAATATTTTTAAGTTAAGATTATGTACATGTTAAACAGAACAGAGCTACAATACAGAGTACAGTACAGATGTGTAGGGGTGGGCACCTGCTGTACCTACCTCCTCTTTCTCATTCTCCTATTCATAAATAACAAAAAAGGGCACAATGCCATGGCTTGAACAATACACAACCCGCACATAGAAGAGAGGAGCTTACAACGACATTTCGGTCCGACTTGGACCATTTACAACGTCACACTGAAACGTCGTCGTAAGCTCCTCTCTTCTATGTGCGGGTTATTTGTGTACTCTCCTATTCACTTCTACCCTCTCTTGCATCATATCTAGCAATATCTTTTTACATATGCTCACCACTTCACTCTGTGGTTAAGTGTGTGTTGTTTAAGGAATAATTGGCAGATGTGTGGGGATGTGTATCAGCTAGTCTGCCTCCCCCTCTACCTCATTGTCTCTTATTCACTCCCACCCTCTTATTACATCTAAGTTGAAGACACTACGTATGCTTACTAGTCCCTCACTGTTATAGCGAGGCGTTAGGAGCCTGTATATATATTGTGAGAAGATAGTGGTGAGGATAATTGTGTGATGGAGGGTGTAACATGAGTGCATGGTGCTCCCACTGTCACTGCACCTCTCCCACTGACTTGAAGTACTGTACATGGACAGCAGCTGCAGCTGCTACAGTCAAACATAATAATGTAAACATTTAATCTACAGTTCTTAAGCAATCTCTACCAATAAAAATAATGAAAAAATAAGCTCTCCACACTTGCATTAAAACAATACAAAATACCACTGCATTTGATAAAAACCAAGAGAACAGTATTTATAATTTAGCCTTAAGAATATTAAATATTAAATTTGCAGTTCTTGACCAGTTACTACCAAAGAAATATGAGCTCTGTACATGCATGAAGAACACACACAAAATATAAATGCATTTAAGAACATAAAGAAGGAACACTGCAGCAGGCCTACTGACCCATGTGAAGCAGGTTCATGTACCCCCCCCCCCCCCATCCCCCCTGGATTAGCCCACTGACCCACCTAATCAAGCCACTTCCACTTAAGGAGCACTGCATCAGACCTAGTAGCACTAGCTAGTCAGGTCCAACTCACACCCACCCACACCCACTCATGTATTTATCTAACCTATTTTTAAAGCTACACAACATTTTGGCCTCAATAACTGTACTCGGGAGTTTGTTCCATTCATCCACAACTCTATTACCAAACCAGTGCTTTCCTATATCCTTCCTGAATCTGAATTTTTCCAACTTGAAACCATTGCTGCAAGTCCTGTCTTGGCAGGAAATTTTCAGCATTCTTTTTAAATCCCCTTTATTCTTGTTTTCCATTTATACACCTCAATCATATGGGTGTGAAGCTTGGGTTGTATATGCTGCAGCAAGGAGGCAGTTGGAGGCAGTGGAGATGTCCTGTCTAAGGGCAATGTATGGTGTAAATATTATGCAGAAAGTTCGGAGTGTGGAAATTAGGAGAAGGTGTGGAGTTAATAAAAGTATTAGTCAGAGGGCTGAAGAGGGGTTGTTGAGGTGGTTTGGTCATTTAGAGAGAATGGATCGAGGTAGAATGACATGGAGAGCATATGAATCTGTAGAGGAAGGAAGGCGGGGTAGGGGTCGTCCTCAAAAATATTGGAGGGAGGGGGGTAAAGGAGGTTTTGTGGGCGAGGGGTTTGGACTTCAACAAGCATGCGTGAGTGTTAGGCGTGAATGGAGACGAGTGGTTTTTTAGGACCTGACGAGCTGTTGGAGTGTGAGCAGGGTAATGTTTAGTGAAGGGATTCAGGGAAACCCGTTATTTTTATATAAGTCAGACTTGAGTACTGGAAATGGGAAGTACAATGCCTGCACTTTATAGGAGGGGTTTGGGATATTGGCAGTTTGGAGGGATGTTATATATCTTTATACGTACAGTGGACCCCCGCTTAACGATCACCTCCAAATGCGACCAATTATGTAAGTGTATTTATGTAAGTGCGTTTGTACGTGTATGTTTGGGGGTCTGAAATGGACTAATCTACTTCACAATATTCCTTATGGGAAAAAATTCGGTCAGTACTGGCACCTGAACATACTACTGGAATGAAAAAAGTTCGTTAACCGGGGGTCCACTGTATATGCTTCTAAACTGTTGTATCTGTGTGCCTCTGTATAAACATAGATTATGTATAAGTGAGGTGAAAGTGTTGAATGATGATGAAAATATTTTCTTTTTGGGCCACCCTGCCTTGGTGGGAGACTGCTGACTTGTTGAAAAAAAAAATTGTATACAGTGTGTTTATAAATTTTTATTATTTTAACAAGAGGTTTGTTTATAATTTTCTGTGTTTTTTCTTATTGTTATTCATTATTAATAAAAGGCTTAAAATTTTTAAATTTTAAGCCTTAAGACTATACCAGCATGCATTGTAAAATTAACAAGGTATGTGTGTGTGTATTTGCAAGATCTGAGGCAGGCATCAGTAACTTGAAATGAAAAATAAAAATTTTAAATTAGTTCAAATCTTGAAAGTAGTATTAATATTTCAGTTATGCATCATCAGCTTCATAGTACTATTAGGTTTGGAGGCTGAGTTGGGGAGATTAGACTAGGCTAATTTGCCAGTGTGAGAGGATTGGAGAAGAGAAATTGATGAAAACAGTTGGGTGTTGTTGAGCACCTAGAGTTGGTTTCCTAATACAATTTATTTGTAATCTGGTCACTGTTGCATCAGTTAGCTAGTGGGTCTGAGAATAATGCTAGCTATTTTATGAAATATATTGCAGTGTAGTGTACAGGTAATGATCAGACATGCAGTATGTAGTGGAAGTTGGAACACTACATACAAGAGAGGCCCCGCTTATACAGCAGGTTAGGTTTCGGGCTACTTCTGTAAAGTGAAAGAACCTTTTTTCACTTTCAATGCATCTAAAAGCCTGATAACATGTTTACACTGTCATATATTAGGTGAGCAATAGAGCTAGGCCTAAAACATGCATATGCAGTGCACGTATTACTTTAAAATGTTTTAATCTTTAGCTTATAACGAGTGCGGAATATATTTATTGTAGGAAATCTGAGTAGATGAAAAATGGGTATAATTGAAAATCGTTGCACTTGTGAAATGGTGTACAGCGAAGTGCTGTAAAGCGGTGAACTCATGTATACTGTATTTGGTATTTGCATCTTGGTCAGTTTCTTAAAAATAACCTTGCCAGTATGCTAAAAAATTGGTATGTATGCGTAATTACCTTTGAAAGTACAGATATAGGGCTATACTAATAGTGCCACATCCTCGTTGATTAGCATGTCAGCTATTTCTTAAATATTTTATTTCAATGATTGTGGCATTTTTCTATTATTCCATCCCTGTAGTGCACTAGTGTGCTTTTGTGCCTGTTCTTCCTAGTGATGGTGATGAATTGCCCTCTAGTTCTTATCTCTTTTTGAGATAAACAGTTTATAATTACAGCAGTAATTCTCTTACCAGACAATTTATAATTACAGCAGTAATTGTTTTTAGATCTGGAAGCCATTTTGTAGCATGTCTTTTGATATTTTCTATTTGTCTACATTTTTTGTCTGGACAGCCATCTGTGCTTTGTATTGCAGTATAAATTTGGTGTTTGGGGAAGGCTATTTAGATATTTGCCAGCATTGTAAATAAATTTATAGCAATTGTAATTGTGATACTTTGGTTTCAATTTGTTACTTGAATTATCCCAGATATGTGGTTTTGTTTGACACTTGGTATTTTGTCACTCACTATTCCTCATGTTGACAGCTTCTTGCCCTACCTATTACTTTTTTTTTTGTGGAAGAAAACTTTTCCACATTAAATTCTGTATCCCTTCTGTCACTCAGTTGCTTCAGTTTACCCAAGTTTTGTAGTCTCTTTAAAGTGCAGTATTTCAGTGAGCTCCATTTCACCAAGATATTTTGGGCTTAAGTTCATTTTATTTAATGCTTATTTTGTAAATACACACACTTCAACTTCCTACTAAGTGTCTCATTTCCTACTCATCTAGATTCTGAAATTTTACCATACATAGTTAAATTCTGTTTAGCATTTTTGTTTTTAACTATGTGTTTGTTTCTTTTTCTTACATTTGCATAGGCCAGTATATTCACTCATGGTCTGTTTGACTATTTGTAAGTTTTAGTTGGGTTGATTTTATTTTTTGTATTTTTATTTACACACATTCTGGCCATCTCCCACCAAGGTAGGATGACCCCCCCCCCTTCAAAA